ATAGAGCCCATATTTTAATTCTAGGTTGAAGGCACAGTATTGCTTTTGAATTTACTACTGTCTACACATGCATCTACTGTGTTTGAAATTTCAAATAGTTATGTCCATTTTAAGAGAATCCCCTCTTATAAATGTATCAAACACACTATAAAAATATTTTATTTTGAGTTGCTAAATTCCCAAATCAACTCAGTGATATACAATGGGGTGAAACAAAACAAAAAAAAAGAAAAAAAGATGTCTGTGTTCACCTGATAGCCCTCACGAACTTGTTTGAGAACCTTGTCATAGCATATAGTGTTGAAGTCGTTGAGTTGCTTCATCTTGTTGACAGACTTGACACCTGTTTCAATAAGATAGGAGTTGCTACTATAATAGCCGTTAAATGAGATTTAAATAAAGAGATATTTTGGGAATAAGCATTAAGCATATGAGGACTTTATTTCAAAGATCTTTATCAAGTAAATACACACTTATTTGCCAGGAGTTTGAAACACAAGTATATTAGCAAAGAGGCTATGATAATGACATAATTTTTCAAAGACCTATGACAAATTTAATTTATAAAGTGACATTTAAAAGAAACATGCATAAACTTCAATCAGCAATAAAAGATTTGCCATTTTTGTGCAGAAACAAATAGTCTTTTTTTTTTTTAGAGCTAGAGAATGATGAGATTACCAATAAATGTCTGGCTAAGAGGCACTGGTCTAAATCTGCCATCAAAGAAGAACAAGCCAGTGTAGGGGTTTACATTCAAGAAGGTCGCAACATCTGGGTAATTTGGCAGCGTGGCAGACAGACCTACGATCCTGATCATGCTCTGGGTGCTCTCCACCTGTCGGTCAACAGAATACGCTCTTTTGGTGTTGGTTCAGTTTTCAATTTTTAAAACGACATTTACACTTTAGAAATGAAACATGGTATCCTGTCTAATTATTTTGTTTGATTAAGCGCTGATATTCTAGTGAACACTCTTAAATTTTATTACAAATATATCTGTAACTACATTTAAAGTGTTCAGATAAATACTTATTGTAATTTTGTTATCCAAGCTTTCAGAAAGCTTACAACTAGTCATCATAAGTATCCATGCACATCATAATGCATTCAGCTTTGAAATGTGCTATTACTATATTGAAAGTGATACATAATAAATGTCATTGTTATAAATTTAAAATAAAAACATTTTTAAAAGAGGGCGGTTTGGGGTGGGGGGG